AAGAAAAAAATTGAAACATAATGATGACGACCACTATGATAGACATGCTAAAGTATAGTAATTCAATTAAATATCATTGATCTAAAATATAATCCCATTTCTACTCTTTTAAGAACTTGATTCTTCAGGATAATTGATTTGCAATGTATGCAAATGTGAGTTTTGATTCTTTATTAGATTCTCTTATATTTGTTGACTTAATCAAAGTCTGCATACCAAGTTTGAGTGAAAAGCTTGATTTAAAACTCTTTAAAGAATGTTTTTATTGATTTTAGAGAAAAAGGAAGGAGAGAGATAGAGAGATAGAAACATTGATCAGCTGCCTCCTGCACGCCCCCTACTGGGGATCCAGCCCGAAACCTGGGTATGTTCCTGACCGGGAATTGAAAATGGGACCTCTTGGTTCATGGGTTGATGCTCAACCACTGAGCAATGCTGGCTGGACAAACTTACTTTCATTTTTGAAGTTATTTGTGTTTATCTTAATTTTCTCAGCTATAATCTTTTTCATTATGTTGATTTTAAGCATTTTGGACTAAAATATAAATTCTTTGAAGTTGACATTTTAAAAAATAGTGTCATGAAGAATAAGTATCTCAAATTTATTGACAATCTGTTCTAACTTCATATGCATATTTAAATATAATCACCATATATGAGATGCTTTGATGAGGATATATTGAGATATATGTAAAGTTATGCCAAACCTTATTTCCCACTGATCTAGTAAACTTGTTGAAGTTTTTATTTATAGATAGAAGAGAGAGAGAAAAGGAGATTTTATTAACAGAATCCAAGTATATTTATTTATCCTGTTAGTGTCAACATTAACCATTTTCTTCAATATATTGCAAATACTTTCATAATGTTACCTAAAATCACTATCAGCCTATTTGCATTTAATAATATTTACAAGGTAGAAACTTGCAATTTGAAACTAAAATCATGCATCTCGATATATGACAAATGGATTTTGAAAATGTATAGCATGATTATACCAGTCACATTATAGCTGCTAAAATTAGCTGTGTCAAATCCATCAAGACATCCTGGAATTTTGTTATTCTACTCCATATTATCAGATGGTCTTATTGAAATTTTTCTTAATTATAACTTCTGCCCTTCAAACAGAGTTCTATATCTATTCCCACTATACATTCTAGAAATGGAGAGATAACCATAAGATGGGCCAGTGGCCCCACTGGATGCATTGTGAGACTGAGCAAAGACGCAACCTGGCCTTCATAAGCTGGTAGTCCATGATAGCATGGCGGCATTCAGGGTGTTTGAGGATTAGTATCAGTTCAGAGCCAAGATCTAGTAACTCTTGGAAACTGTGGATAGTTTCCTTGTTATATGTTTAGATTAGATCTTGATGATTATAGCTTTACATAGTATCACCAAGAAGCTACAGCATTTAAATTTATGCCGAAAATGCAGAACACTATATTTGATACCTATCTGTTTAGCAAATCTTTGATTCATCAATGCATTTCCTATTTTCCACAATCTGTAGTTTATCAGAACAATATATGTGAGAGTGGATAAATTGTAGATAGCTATTTAACTAGTAACTCCTAGACGGATGATGCATCAATGAATGGATGGAAAGATAAAGAGAGAGATATATGGATCTTAGCCAGTCAGAGTAGGCGAGGTCAGGTATAATGAGAATAGACATATTCAACTGGAAGAATCCCCACACTGGTTCCCTAGCTAATGGAGGGAGTGAGGGGAAATCTGGTAGGAAGGATTGAGTGAACACTCTAGGAGCCATTACTCCCTGACCCCTCACCAAGATAATAAAATATAAGCAATTCCAAATCCTTCATGGGGGAGATGCAGATATTAGTGCCACAGTGAAAGATCTGAGAGATGCAAACACCAGGATTCCTACCATATTCTCAGTTAACTTGTTTGTTTGGCTGGTGCATATACCAGATGGATCATTAATAATGACAGAAATTAATACAATCTAGTCATGGTAATGATGTCAAGCACATCCAGTGTTTCAGGTACAGCATCTTTCCTGAAACAAATCAGTAGATCAACAGTCTCTACCATCTGGTGTGCAGCTCTCCATTAAGCAAATACTCCCCCATCTTATTTCAATCGGCAAAGATAATAAAAAGCATTTGCCTTCAGTGGCAGGAACAATGGTATATTTATATACTGTCTTGCCCCAAGGGCTATGTCAGCTTTCCTGCTTTGTGTCATAATACTGACTGGAGGTTCCTTAATCAGCAAAAGATCATACTGGTTCATGCATTTATTTGATGTTCCTCGCATGCCCGTTTTGAGTGTGTTTGTTTCCTGTCTAGCTTCTGACATACAAATATGCTTTTCCCAATGTTTTAAACAGCGAGCGACAACTGAAGACGATGATGAAAATTGAGAAAAATATTTCAATTAGTGGTTTAAAAAAACCTTTTAAAAAAGATTTTATTTTTATTGATGTTTTTCAGAGAGAGAGAGAGGAAGGGAGAGGGAGAGAAACATTGATCAGCTGCCTCCTGCATGTCCCCTACTGGGGATGGAGCACACAACCCAGGCATGAGCCCTGACTGGGAATCGGACCAGCAACCTTCCTGTGCGTGGGATGACGCCCAACTGAGCCACACAGGCCAGCGTGGTTTAAACCATTCTATTCCACTTACCAAAAGAGTCTGAGAGAACCACATCCTTTTCAAGCAGAGATACCGGAGAAGGCTTGTTGAACGCTAAACGGTGGAAGCTGACTGAGGCATCACAGACAGACCCAGGGAACCCTACGCTCCACTCGGCTTCCTGAGCGCAGTGAGAAGGGTCCAGCAATGAGCTGTGTGGAATGACAGTGTGTCCTTTGTGACCTAGGAAATGAACACAATCAGCCTGCTTCCTACTTCATGTTATAAAACCGAAAAATCAAATGGTCTACAACGTAAAGGTACTGTGATCCATTGTACTGCTAATAACATCTAAAGGTTTTATCAACTTTCTTTCTTTTTTTTAAACATGGGACAAAGAGACTTCATACAGAGGCTTTGCAGTGGACACTGGTCAGGGAGTTAATTATGAATGTGGGGTCTGAGACGCCCATGAGAGCCAAAGTAGGGGATAGGAAGTGGGATAAGTAACTTGGCCAAGATTCAAATCCAGCAGTCTGCCATAGAGCCTGTATGCTTAACCAATGAACTGCTAACTAACATTAAAAATCTAAGCTGAATTAAATAAACTAATAAAGGTTCCACAAAGCTTTATATTAGAACCGTCCAAATGTTCTCTCTCTTAAAGCCACCATTAGAACAGGAGACAGAAGTCAACAAATATAGTTGAGAACTCAGTCTGTTTGAATATTAAGATGAATCTTCTTCCATCTTTCAAAGTCTTTCAAAAGTAATTATTAATATCTGTAGTTTTACTTGTCAATTTTCTCTTCTAAAGTATTAGACAGAATCTCTCTCTCACACACACCCTTGCTATCTTATTTAAACAAATCTTTAGCATTAAAACTTTATAAAGACACTAAATTCTAGAAACTAAGAGTATTTTTAAAATGTGACATACACTGAAATTGAAATGGTAAAAAATGTTCTTAGTTAACATACTTCTTGAACTAATTCCAAATTAATAATTTAAACTGGGAAGAAAAAGATTAATATCAGACCTGTAACTTACTTTGAGCAGGATATGTCCAGTCTGTCTACATTTCTCATATGAATAAACCTGGAATTTATGAACTGATGGGCCATGATGGATTGGAGAATTTGGGAAGTCATATAAGTAGTTCCTTATCTGTGCAATGAACTGAATACAAAATGGCGGCATTATAAAATGGAAACGTGGCTTCCTTTCATGACCAATGTTTCCAGGAATATTATCCAAAATTTGCTGCTAATTCAAAACCAAGGTGCAAATGTAGGGGGGGGGGAAAGATATTGTTTAGAGGCTACATCTAATAGTTTGGGGTACTTCCAGAATGGAATGTCTAATAATTTGGTACTGAGTAAAATCTGTGATTCAGCTGAGTCCGCTTTGACAATTCAACTCTGGGTTAACACAAACATTTTCCCAATGTATTTTATCAGAAATTATAACATTACCTGTGAGTGAGCCATCGACATCAATCAGTACCACTTCATGTTCCCATCGAAAGCCAGCCTTGTTTGGTGTGTGAAAATAGCGGATGTCAACAAATTTTGCACTCCAACCTCCACATCTCTCATTACAAACTCCAGTGATGGATGTCACTCCCAAAGCTACACAGTTGGGACGGTCAAAGTTCATGAAGTGTACGGAAGACACAGTCAAGCCTTCGCTAAATGGGAGAACCAGGCCTCTCGTTGTACAAAATGCAGGTCCCATTCCCAATTCATCAAGATGGCCAACTATCTTGGCATTTTTAATCACCGCCCCATTGGTTTCACCCCATCCTCCAGTATAAGCACCCAGGATCCTCTTGGTCTCGATTCCAGACTCATAATTATTTACCACCACAAAGTTATGGAACTGAAGGGCACCTCCATTGACCCATTCAGCTCCTTTTTGACAATTCCAAGTAGTCAGTGAATTAAATATTGCAGGCACTGGCACTGTAGAAGAACAAGATCCTGTCTGCATGGGGAAATATTCTTCAAAGATCCATATTCCAAACCAACCTTGAGAATGAACAGTGTTGTTAAAGAATTCGCCAAGAGGAATTCTTTTTTGGCAGATGTTTCGGTCATAGGATGGCCCATCAGGGTGGTCATTCATTCGGTACCAGAAGCCAAAGTGAGTGCCCCCGGCAGCTGCATTGTGCCGAATGGTGTTGTTTGGGTTGGTTACCCAAAATGCAGCTGGGGTCACATCATCATTCAGAAGACTGGTACTTTGCTGTACAAATACTGCCAAGTTATACTGCAGGATATTGCCATGTTCAATACCATCTTCTATAAAAAATGCTCCTCCTTTGATATCATATATGATATTCCTCTCAACCAGCAGGTGATGAGTGTTATGGATAGTAACAGCTCTGTTGTATGTCTGGTGAATTGCGCAGCCTCTGACATAAGATTTAAACTGTAAATCTCCCAGCAGGTGCCAATGTATTGGGTATCTCCCCAACCGAAAAGCCTGGCCAGCATGGAACACCTGTTAAGCCCAGAAATCATGACTACTTAGTGGTCGACATAAACACAGAGTTTACCTAGCTCATATTTTATTCTTTAAAAACAATTTCCAACTTTATATTAATTATTATTAAAACATTAATATCTTCCATGTTATTCATGTTTGCCATTAGAAAATATTTGGCCTCCAACCCATCTTGTTTTCTTCATTATATAACAGCTCATACGGGATACCAATGAATTAATGAATGAACAAAAGCTGTCTTCAACTGTTCTGCTTTTCATCTCAGGCTATTATAAAACCTTTGTGTTTAGCAAAATAAGACCTCTTAAAAGACTTCTTTTCTCCTTCCTACTTCTTGAATGTTGACCATGTGCCTAATATTGTATGACGTGTCTTATCAAATCCTATGAAGGAGCCACTTATCATTAACTTCATTTTACAGTTAAAAAAATTGAAATTTAGAAAGGCTGAGTATCTTGTTCATGGCCTCCTTTTCTTGATCATAACTAGCATCTGGCAAACAGCATGAACTTAGTACACATTTGTTGTATGGATAACCTCAGGCAAACCTTGTGATTTAATAACAATGCCTCTTACCTCTACATATTCTATTCTTCCAGTTACCATGTTAGCACCAGGTACAGGAGCATGAAACATAATGCAGCCTCCAAATTGATCACTTCCTATTTCTTCTCCAAACTTTCCTTGGAGACATGTCTGTGTAGCAAATTCACCTTAAAAAAAAGAAAAGAAAAAACATGTCAAAATCCTATAATTCTATAAAGACTTTTTTTTCTCACCCTGGCCCATTTGCTCAGTGGTTTAGCCCCTGCACTGAAGTGGGCAGGCAAGGGCACATACCTTAGTTTGCAGGCTCGATTCCCAGCCCCAGCCCCCCCCCCCTCTCTCTCTCTACCCTGTCTTCCTCCCTTACCTTCACTCTGTAAAAAAAATCAATGGAAAAAATATCCTCAGGTGAGGATTAAAATTAAAAATAAAACGTACTTGTTCTTCATATCTAATTATTTATTTCATATTCACATATAATTTTAATCTCATTTTGGAACATAATTATTTGCATTCACATCATATCCTCCTCTAGATAGTAAGAAAGGTAAGTACCTTATACCTTGTCTCATTTACCTTTGCATCCCTTAAAATACATACTGTAAAGACAGGAAAAAGACTTTTTTTCCCGTTTGCTACAGCCATCCACATTTTATGAGAAGCACCTGGTAATTAAACCCTTAGATTGTTAGCTCCTCTGATCAAAGAGCCCCTCTATTCAAACTCGACAAGAGAAGCTACTCTCAAGGCTACATTTTTGCATTCCCCCTCCTCCTTGCTGTTTCAGAACTCAGAGATAATTCACAGCAAGGAGTCTCTAGTTAGTAGAAAGTTCCCTTTCTCCCTCCCCTTCAAACAAGCCTCTTTTTAACTCTCCATAACTTTTTCTCTAAGCATATTTTTCAGACTTGGGAAAAATACTGATAAGACGCCACCCTAAGACACTTGCCAGACTGTCTCCTGGAAAGCAAACAAACTATAATTTTTCAAGGCAACCTTCTGGTATCTGCTCAACTTCAGCCCCAAATACTCCTCCCTTACTTGTCATCTATCTACAGCAGCCATTACTCATTTTTTTAAAAATTTTTTTTTTTTGTCCATGGGTCCATGGGTTCTGCATATATGCATACAAGTTCTTTGGTTGATCTCTTTCTACCCACCCAGTATTTCATGGTGTAAATGTACCATAGCTTTTTCTACCTATTCATCTACTGATAGGCACTTGGGCTGTTTTACCTTTTAAAAATGTAAGCCGCTTTTTGTTCACTGCCCTGAATACTTGGCCCTTTCCCTTCATGGAAAGTAAAATGAACTTCCTCTCCGCATCTCTTCTTTTAGTTGTGAATTCTTTCACAGCCTGCAGCACTGGCCAAACCCTAACACTTAAAATTGTATTTTTCAAAGATACTAAATAAATATTTGAATGGTTGAATGAATACTGATAAAGGTATTTTGTCTTATCTCTGAAACTTTCCCCCCAAATTTGGAGACTAACATAATGAAGCTTTTTCGGTCCAACGTCGAGGCTGACTCGACAGACCAGTTTCAAAAGATACCACACTATGAAATGTTTTAAAGAATAAACTCTTTGATTGAACATACTTAATAATATAGCCAGTGAATTTTTGGTTTAAACTTTAAAATAAGAACATTAAAAGTTCAACATTCAACCCGTCAATTAATTTTAACCGGACTGTTCGAATTCCAAAAATAAAGTTGGACCGCAAAGGGTTAATACAAGCTTATAGCTGTATAGCACTAGATATTCATTATATCTCTTAGTTCTTATTACTGTAGTAAGCAGAACAGGAAGTATTCTTATTTTAAACAGGTTGAAACTAGGTTGAATGGACATTTGAGACTTGATGCAGATGAACTGATGACTGAGAAAAAAAAAAAGAAGAATGGAATAAGCATTGCCAAGAGAGTCACTTAGTACAGTCAGGAAGCTATTAAGGAAGTGGGGTAGGTGGCCTTGCACATCTTGTGCTTCAGTTCTCAGAGCTGCTATTAACTTGATAACCCTGTTGCCAAACTCAGCTCAAGGCTGAACCATAAACATCCTGGAGCAACTGCTGTGTGGACACATGTGGACTTCACCTTCTCCTTGTACTTTTTCTCTCCCAACCCCCTCCGTTTGCATGTTGGAACTAACCAATCCGTTAACCTAGCTAGCAATCCTTCATTTGCCTGGAAGAATTACACTGGGTGGTTTTTGTCTTTCTAAATCCTGCCTTTCTTTGTTCTCAGAACACCGTTTGGGTTGCTATCTGGAAGTGTCTCCCTGATGGCAATCCTTTTGCTCAAGTAAATGTTTTGTGTTTTTTTCTTCATTGCAGCCTGAACATTTTCTGGGTTGGCAATTACAATTAGAATGTAAGTCACTTGACATCAAATCCAGTGAGTTTTGCCTTATTTATACTTCTCATTGAAGAAAAGGCTGTATCTGTTACTACTCAACTGCTTATAGGATTGCGATGGTATTAGTGATTACATAAAATATTAGACTTGTAAAATACATTGTGCCACATGCTGTTGTAAACATCATTAAGGTTCTCTGATGTGAGAACCTTAAACATCACATCCAGTTCTCTTCGTATACTAGTGACTAAAGTGCAAAGTTAAGCATTTCATAATCAGTCTGACTAATGGCACCCGAGTAGAGGAGACACCTGTTACTTTAGGACCAAAGTAATTAGTTAATCCAGCCATCTTGTGTGCTGTCTCAGAGATTCCCAAAGTCCAGGTTGAGATGGAGTTTTCATCAGCCTAGAACCTGGAATAATTGCCATAAGCAGAGTGTCCCTGTTGACCCATATTGGACATATGTAGTATCAGTGAGAAATAACCTTTTTTCATTTTAAATCATGAGCTAGAGCATAACTTAGTCCAGAAGTTCTCAACTGGAGGTGATTTTACCTCCTGGGAATATTTTTGCAATACCTGAAAACATTTTAAATGGTCACACTTAAAATTTACTAAAATTACCTGTATCAAATCCATCAGGACATGCTGGAATTTTGTGATGCCACTCCACATTATCAGATCCTCTTATTAAAATATTTCTTGTGAGAATTCCAACTTCTGCCCTTGCTTCAAACAGAGTTCCATCAGGAAGGGGGACAGTGATTCCTAAGTGTGTGTAATTCAGCGGGTGAGTCAGCGTTATGCTTATGCCATCAGCAGACACAAATTCGATGGTCCTTTCTTCATTCTCTCTTTGACTGTGTCTATAAAAATTTTAACAAAAAATTTTCAAAATTAATGTAAATCAACATAACATTGTTTTGGTGTATTTTATGCTATTTAGAACACTTTATCTGTGAATCAGAAAATATTTTTGCCATTCAATATTCTGAAGAGAAATTTGAAGATGGCATTTCATTTTCTTTGGGCAACTAAATAAATTTACAGCAATACAATTTTACTGAAGCAAAATAATATGGCCACAAGCCTAACAAATGGTATTGGTGGGAATCAGAGTCAACAGACTGACTTTGAAGTAGTATTCTTAACCAGTTGCTTTATAAACTCTCAAATAGGATTTACCAATGAAATGGCAAACTACAAATGCCATCTTAAATTTTAATTCTAAATTGAGTCATGACCTTAGCGTAATTTAGCTGATTCTTATCAGAAATTACTATTTGTTCCCTGATATCCAATTTTGCCATTCCCCACAATTTGAGCAATGAAGCAAAAATAAAGCTCCTCCGGGCTCCCTCCCCAGTGTTCTGGTATAATGTAGTTAGCAATATTGTTTTTCTTCCTGTTGTGTCTTACTGGCTAAAATATATAATTAAACAGTAACTGAGGGTCATAAACAGTTTCAGTCATAAAATGTCAGACATCTAAAACGTCATGTTAGTCATCACTCATTCTATAATGATTTCTTTCCCTTTATTCAATCATTCCTAAAAAGTTTGGTCCATGGGAACCACTGCTGAGACTAAAGATAACAGAGTCCACTGACTGCTTTCAACCCTATTCTTTAGTGACCACAGTCATTTACATGTTTGTATGCATTAATGTATTTGGCTAAAGCTCTAAGTCAGAAGTTTTCAAATGACTTACAATAGCAGAATGCTTTTTCTCAAACAAAATCTTACATGGGAGCCTAACCATAAAAATCAACCAAAATATTTTATTAGTACAGCAGGTCCTCAATAACATCATTTCACTCAATGTCATTTTGCTATGATAAGAGGTCATAGGAACTTAGCTCTTGTTTATATCAATTAGCCTATGGTAAAATTCTATTTCCTTGTATTGTTTTGCTTAAAGCCACAGAAGCTATTGTCTACATTAAGTGAATGCTTACTATATATATTTATCTTATAGGTTCAAGTTAATAACTTTTCTTATTATAAATTCAATCAATGAATGAAAACAACACTGATGATCAACACAATGTTAACATCTGGCAAATACATATTTGACTGTTCATGTTTCTTTATTAGAGGTTTCAAATTTAAATGAAATAGTTGTAGACCTTCTGAATCATCCCTCTTTTATGTAGTTAAAAAAAAACCCTCTGTTTACAAATCTAAATTATCAGGACTTGAGGACATCATACCTGTGTCCTGTGCTTGCAACCACAATCTTATCTCCTGGTTTCCATGTTACTGCTTCTTGTAAAATCAGAGTCCTTTCCCCTGCCTGTGCAGTATGAGCCAAACGGGTCCAGACCACGGGGACAGGAAGACCTGGGACCAACATACAAACCAAGTATTTCTAAAAATGTGTTTTCTTGGTTATTGAGAGCTTTATGACTTTAATCTTTTCCTGCGTCAAATTGATTTGAGGAAAGTTTTTTTTTTAACTATCATTTCATACCTTTCTCACAAAAGAAATATGTAGAATGCTTGCTTTATACAAGTAACAATCAGGTTTATTACCCATGTATGGGTTCATAATTTAAGAAACATCCTTCTGCATCAATCTATTCCATTTAGAAGCATCTTCTTTATATTAATGCAATATAAATGTGGTATAACACTATTGATTAACCAGGCAGAGGCCTGTTATCTTTGTCACTGTTGACATAAATTGTTTAAATTGATAATCTAGGGACAAATGAAATGTATGAATTTCTGAAAATT